GTGCTCGTCCTCCAACTTTCAGACTAGGTGACCTCTAGGGTCCATTGGCTGAGCACCTGGGCTTCCCAATCCTTCTGATGGAAAGATGCTAGACTGGAAGAAACGAACTAGCATACAAGGAAAAACAAGGAACAGTATATTTTAAATCTGTATATTTTCCAATAATTTATGTTCAACTTTTATCTAACTATGAGATAATTTAGATAGAAGATATATATACCATGACATAGACAATAAATAGAAATAGCACATCCAAACCTTGTAGAAAAATGAAGAAGCAAATATTCTAGCCATCTAGGTTAATAATTAGAATTGTATCTACATTTAGCTCTGAGCTTCCTGGCAGCCAAGGCCAAAAGGGAAATATGATGAATGAAGACATAACACATGAGTAGTAAGGCCAGATAACAGCTCTGGGTTCAGGGGAGAGTACAATCTGTGGTGGGGAGACCAGGGGCTTTGGGGACAGGACGTGTTCTTGGTGGGTGAGCTCTTTCCAGCCCTGCCATCTACTTCCCTTCTTCTCCACCTCCGTGGGCAGAGGCCAGCCAAGTGCCCCAGACCCATCTCTCTGCTCCAACCCTGGGCCTCTGCTCTGCCCCTGCATACCCCATTTCGTCTGCCTGATCCCTGGTGGCCTCTTTCCCACAGGGAGTACTGCCAGAGGGTGCTGCGGAAGCCAGCGCAGGACTGCTCCGCATACACACTGTCCTTTGACACCACGGTTTTCATCATAGAGAGCATGCGCCGGCGGGTGGCGGTGGAGGCCGTGCTGGAGAACAGGGGCGAGAACGCCTACAGCACAGTCCTAAATATCTCACAGTCAGCAAATCTGCAGTTTGCCAGCTTGATCCAGAAGGTAAGACCTCCATGGCCTGCCGGGACTGCCTGAGTGAAGGACAGGGAAGGATCCTTTCCATCTGGGCCTGCGCTGAGGGGACACCCGTGCCAGCCCAGTGGGGGCCCCAGCTCAGACAGGCCAGGGCAGCCTGGTGGTGTTTCCCCTTAAGCTCAGCCACCCTTTTCTCGGTGGCCAACAGTGTGTTCAGAGTCTTGCACTAGACAGTGGCAGGAGGGTTGGGGGTGTTGGAGCTGCTGCCTCTCCACCCGCCCAATGGCTGAGGCCAAGGCTTGGGGAGAGCCCTCTGACCCGGGGAGCAAGCCCTGCCCTGGAGAGAGGCGGAATACAGCCCCAGAAAAACCCCTCCCAGCCCCCGCCAGGAGGTCAGCCCACCACCTGCTCACTGATTTTCCGGATTACAAAGCCATGCAAGGCAGATGTGCGGTCACTCAAAGGGCCACAAAGCCAGAGGGAGCAGAATAGCTGCAGACCCGAGTCTCCTCCACCCGCAGGGGGAAGGGCACAGGCTCAGGAGTCTGCTGCCAACCTTACCTCCCGTCTCTGGGCCTCAGCGTCCCCACCTGCAGATGGGATGATGAATCCCACGTCCAGCTGCTCCAGAGGGAGGGACAAAGCATAGATGAGCACCTGCCCATTCTCTCCACAACCCGGCAGCCACCGAGTGCGTCTCCGCCCTTGAGTCATGCCGGGCACGATGAACCAAGCCGCACCCCAGACTCTGGGACCTCTGTGGTCCCAGAGGTCAGACCTGTGCTCCAGGCTTCAGCACGGGCGGTGGGGATGGGGTGGCCGTGGGGGTGGGGAGGGGCAAGCTGGAGAGAGAGTGACTCCAGACGTGGGTCTCAGGCCCTGCCTAACTACTGCTGCGATGTCCCCCACCCACCCCCAGGAGGACTCCGACGGCAGCATCGAGTGCGTGAACGAGGAGAGGAGACTCCACAAGAAAGTCTGCAATGTCAGCTACCCCTTCTTTCGGGCCAAGGCCAAGGTTGACGCTGGGGGCAGTGTGAGGGAGGTACAGGGCGGGGGGAAGGGACAGGGATGGGCACTGGGAGGCCCAGGGAGGCACGAGCAAGGGAAGTGAGCAGAGAAGACTAGGGAGGGGTGGAGACGCCTGAGCGTGGCTTTTAAGTACACTCATTTTTTCTCCCATGAAATGACTTTCAAATGACCTTATTAGTGAACCATCCCCAGGGCTGGGAGTCTACCCCAGGAGAACACAGGCCCCCTGTACCTCGGAGGGCTCCCACTCCCACCCCGCCACGCTCCCACCACCTCTTGGCTGATCCCGCTGTGCTTTGTCCTCACCAGTTTTTCACATTTTCAGCCTCTGCCACCAGGCTGTGTACGGGGAGGGACAGGGAGAGGAGACACATCTCTTGAGCACCTACTGACCGTGTGCATAAGAGCACACGTGAGAAGAAGGTCGGTGTGTGCAGGGAGAAGCACAGCAGCTGGGAAGGGAGAAGGAGGTAGATGTTGGTCATGGGGGGTGTTTGGCCACCAGCCCTGGGCAGTGGGCAGCCACACAAGTTTCTGGAGCAGAAGAACTATTTGAGGCCAAGCTGCTTGTAAATGGCAATCAGAGAGAGGGGAGCTTGGGGCAGGAGCCGGTTAGACAGCAGCAGTTTTCCCAGGAGTAGGGTCTACAAGGCTGGGGAAGGGGGCAGAAATGGGGGCAGGGATTAGGGCTCCTTGGGAAAGAACCTCCCCAGTGAGAGTAAGTCAAGGGTGTAGTTTCCAGATCAAGACACCGACAAGCCCAGGAGCTCTGCAGTGAGGACATGGGGAAAGAGAACACAAGCTTCCCCACCCACCCCCAGCCACTCCCTGGGGAAAAGGGCCCCTGAGGTCTCCAGGGAAACTGCAGGAGAGTCAGACCTGGGGAGAGCAGAAGGAGTCTGTGCAAAGCTCCAGTAATGCTCCTGGGGTGGGGAGGGGAGTCAGATGTCTAAGGCCACAGTCGGGGGACCCCCGTCCCACCCCTGGGTGAAGGGCAAGGGGAGCAGTGTGGCGGGAGGGCTGCTGGACGAGGAGGCAGCTGCCTTATTGACCTGCTGGAGGGCCCTGTCCTCACCCCGCTCCCCACCTGGACACAAAAACAAGGAGCAGACGAGGCGGCCCCTGTCCTGCAGTGTGTAGTGACAGCCATCTCCCCTCCTGCCATCAAGGCCCCTCCACCCTGAAAATCCTGCTGAAAGAGTGTAAAGCTGGACTGGCTGCCTTCCAGTTACCTTTCATAAAAACAAGAGAGGAGGCAGGGGGCTGGCCCTGAGAAACCCACCCCATGGCAGGAGCTGTTGTCTTTGGCTGTGTCCCCCTCAGCACCCCCCAAGCTCAGCTTATGTTCTCCAGCACCTGGTCCTACCTTTCCCCAGCCCATCCCCGGTCAGCAGGGCCCACCAAAGCCTGGGGGCAGGGGGCTATGGAGGGCAGGCCAGGGTGGGTCCAGGCGCTGCCCAGATGTGCAGTTCCAACCGCCCCAGCTCAAGCAACCACTTCCTTGCAGGTGGCTTTCCGTCTAGATTTTGAGTTCAGCAAATCCGTCTTCCTGCACCACCTGGAGATCCAGCTCACCACGGGCAGGTCAGGGCCACACCTGCTTCTTCTCCCTCCCAGCTCGCTATTCCTGCGTCCTGCTCTTGCTCCATCCTGCCAGTCCTGCCACCAGCAACTGTCCCTCCCCACACTGAATCCCACTGCCAAGCCCTGTCCCCCACTGTCCCAACCTGGTGGGGCCTGGGGTCAGTCACAAGTGTGGGCCAACTGCTGCCTGCTGCATGGCCACCATTCTCCATTCTTCAACAGCTTGGATATAAATACTGTGATGATGCCAGTCCCTTACCTTTGTATGGCACTTCATAGAGCAGTTATTTAAAAACTCTACAGTTATAAACCACCATACATACAATGTGTCAGTCAGTCCTCACAGCAGCCCCACAGGATCAGCAAAGCAGAGGTCATTCCCCACCCTCCAAGTTATAGGTAAGAAAAGGGAGGCTCAGAGAGGGGGTGAGTTTCCCCACGACACACAGCAGGTGAACAGTACCACTAGGAGCCGAACGCTAGTTGCCCTTCTCCTCATCCAGTGCTCTGCCTGTCACCTCCCCCCCCTTGGAAATTCTTCCATTTTATGAGAACTTTTCTCACTCTCTGTGAGTCTGTCTGTCTGTCCACCTTCCTCCCAGGCCTCCCTGCGGTAGCGTGTTATATGTTGACATCGTCAGTCACCCTGCGTCAGTAGTAAACACACTTTTCTTTTTCACAGAATCACCTGTGTGTGGAGAAGGAGGGAGGGATTCTGTCTACAGGATTCTGTCTACTCTGGAGCCTTATAAATGGCCAAAATCCTTAGCTGAGAAATGAACACTCCAGGCAAAGCAAACACCTGCATTCCAGCGCACGTGCACGCGTGCACACACACTCGGGTCGGAGGTCACGGGAGGGCTGGGGCTCCACACACCCCCACGTGCTTGCTTCCCAGCCACAGTTAAATTGTGCATTTTGGTAGAATTCTCACTTCAGATTTGACAAAATTTGCAAGACATCTTCACGTTTTTCAGCCTCCCTTATGCTCTTCCCTGCTCTTAGAAAACAGCCCCGTTCTCATGGGAAAAGGAACGCACTTGCATAGCAGCGTCTTTGGCTGTGGGTGTTTGTGAACTAGGTGTGTGTAGAAGGGGGCACGGGGGGGTGTCTGTGTGTTTCAGGAATCCCTTTTCTAACCAAACACCTATCCTGGGGTAAGGCTTCCAAGGGGAATAAAAGCTAGTGTATGTAACAAGCAGAAATCATGTTCTTAGTTCTGAAATTATTCTCCCTGGTAGTTCATGAAGCTCAGATATAAAGGCGAGCATATTCGACAAAACTTCCAAATGTCTGTGGATTTCACTCTCAGCCTTCTCAGGCAGCAGAGGGCCCGCGGCTGCCGGTAGGAGCTGCCCCCCGTTACGTCCTCACGGTCCCTCCCTCCCTGGGCAGGGCAGGCAGCAGGTGTCAGGTCCCCCAGCCCACTAGCTCCTAAGAGGCCGGCACAGCACAGGGTGTGCCCATCTAACAGGTGGGGGGGCTCAGCGAGAAGGTCACAAAGGCGGTCAGAGGCCACGCCAAGCACGGACCTCCCAACTCCAGTCCAGAGTCCTTCCTGGACCTCACACCAGCCCATATGGCTGCCCCTGGAAAGGCAGCAGGGACAGTTGACATGATCCATCCCTGCCTCCTTCCTGGCCCTTCCTCTCCTAGGAGATGCCTCCTCGGGTTCCCTCCCTGGCCTGTCCCTGTGCTTACCGCCCTGGATGAGCCAGCATGCTCCTTCCTCAATCCGCCTCAGATGCCTCCTGCTGCAGTGAGCCGGCGGGGTGTGACAGCTGAGCCAGACGGGGGCAGGGTGGGCTCCTGACCGTGCTGCCTCACTCTCCCTGCAGTGACAGCGAAGAGCAGGACAGCACCAAGGAAGACAACATGGCCCTACTACGTTTCCATCTCAAATATGAGGCCGAGGTGCTCTTCACCAGGTGGGCTGGGCTCGGGGGTCCTGCAGAGGGGAGGCATGGGGGAGTGAGACCTAAGATGGGGCACCCTCTGGTGGGCCCTAATGGGGTCAGAGGCCCCAGAGGCCAAGCCCCAGCACTGACGGACTATAAGATGGAGCCAGGTGTATCCCTGGTGGGTCAGGGAGTACAGTCCCCTCATCCATGGTGGGGAGGGTTGTCAGAGTAGAGGAGGGGAGAAGACAAAGTCCTCACCCCCTTGGAGCTCCCAGCTGGGGCAAGAGAGGAGGGCAGGGGTAGTGGGAGCTGTCTGCCCCTGGCACAGGTAATCAGTGGGTGCACTGTCGGTAGAGCATGTAAAAACAGTAACAAGACCTACTAAAAGTCAATCTGCTTTTTATTATCACCTCGCACCAGCAATTTTAAACAGTGTCAGTGAGAATGCACTCTTCCCCACAGGGCAGACTGCTCCCACCCTCACCCCACTGGGTATGACCCCAGCCCCCAGTCTGATGAGCGAAACAGCCCCTGTCCTCTGAGAGCTCGCAGGCAGATGGAGAAGTCAGGACATAATGACAAATACAGAAAGGAAGCTCAGGCCCTTCCACGACCAGCTACCCCTAGAGGCTAGAAGGGTACACAGTGGGCAAGGTCATGTTCAAAAGAGGCCACGCCCCTGGGCAGAGAGGCTAGGGCAGGGTGACAGATAACCGGCTCCTCTGACTCATGTCTGCCCACACACGAGGCAGACGTTGCTACCTGATTGCAGCATTTATTCCTGCTCAATCTCAGAATCCTTCCTAACACAACACTCCCGAGGGGCTCAAGAGGAAACCTGTTTGTTGTGGTCTAAAGAAAGGCAGGCACATGCCCACTCCCTCTGCTATTCATTTATCCATCTAGCCAACACTGACTGAGCTAACAGTGGCCCTGTCTTCTGTCCCTGCAGGAGCAGCAGCCTGAGCCACTACGAGGTCAAGCCCAATAGCTCTCTGGACAGATATGATGGCACTGGGCCTCCTTTCAACTGCATTTTCAAGGTAAGGCTGGAGGGGAGCCAGGGGCAGAATTAAGAACAGGAGCCGAGGACCCCCAGGCCCCATTTGGGAGGGGAGGAATTTGGAATCATCGCTAGTGCCTGGAGTCCAGCCTCAACCCTGCCACATTCACTGTGTGGCTTTAGGCAAGTCACTTCCCCTCTCTGGGCCTCTCAGTACTCATCTGAAAAACAAGCAGGCTGGACTGGGGCAACGTATCAGTGAAGATTAGGTGTGGCTGCCTAACAGTTTTAGGTACAAAAAAAACTGGTTTAAATATGCCAGGGTTTACTCTCCCCCATAAAAGAAGTCCAGAGTTGTCAGCTTTACAAAATCACCAGGATAGGGCCTTCTGTTCCACCATGCTTAGTGTGAAATTATCAGCCTCAAGTGCGCCTCACAATCCAAGATGGCTGCAATGCCAACCATCACGTTCTTATCCCAGGCAGCAGGAAGAAAGAAGGGAAGAGCACACCCCTCCCGGGTACAGAACCAAGGGGCCCAAGAGGGAACCTGTTTGTTGTGGTCTAAAGAAAGGCCGGCACATGCCCACTCCCTCTGCTATTCATTTATCCATCTAGCCAACACTGACTGAGCTAACAGTGGCCCTGTCTTCTGTCCCTGCAGGAGCAGCAGCCTGAGCCACTACGAGGTCAAGCCCAATAGCTCTCTGGACAGATATGATGGCACTGGGCCTCCTTTCAACTGCATTTTCAAGGTAAGGCTGGAGGGGAGCCAGGGGCAGAATTAAGAACAGGAGCCGAGGACCCCCAGGCCCCTTTTGGGAGGGGAGGAATTTGGAATCATCGTTACTGCCTGGAGTCCAGCCTCAACCCTGCCACATTCACTGTGTGGCTTTAGGCAAGTCACTTCCCCTCTCTGGGCCTCTCAGTACTCATCTGAAAAACAAGCAGGCTGGACTGGGGCAATGTATCAGTGAAGATTAGGTGTGGCTGCCTAACATTTTTAGGTACAAAAAAACTGGTTTAAATATGCCAGGGTTTACTCTCCCCCATAAAAGAAGTCCAGAGTTGTCAGCTTTACAAAATCACCAGGATAGGGCCTTCTGTTCCACCATGCTTAGTGTGAAATTATCGGCCTCAAGTGCGCCTCACAATCCAAGATGGCTGCAATGCCAACCATCATGTTCTTATCCCAGGCAGCAGGAAGAAAGAAGGGAAGAGCACACCCCTCCCGGGTACAGAACCTCCCCGGTAGTGGGTTACCTCTCATTGTCCAGAACACTGGTTTAGCTGTAAGAGAGGCTGGGGAATGTGGCTCCTTGTCTTGGGTTCTGCCACTAAGGAAGGAAGAGGAAAGAGAATTAGGAGGCAATGCAGCAATCTCTGCTACCGTGGGCCCCAGATCTCCCCTAGCCCTAAACTGCCATGAGTTTATCAGCTTCTCCTACAGCTGGGTGAGAGTTGGGGACAGGGTGACACCTGGAAATTGGACTTCAGACACACTGAGCCCTGCCTGGCTTGTCCAAGAGAGGTTTAGTAACCTGCCCAAGGCCACACAGCTCATACGTTGCGACAGCCCCAGGGTTATATTTCTGATCTTTCTTTTTCCAAAGCCCTTCTTGTAATCACTGGCACCAAATGTGTCACAAGTGGAATGTGAACTATCACAAATTATTTTTATCCTTCATCAATTAATTATTATTTCTCATAATACATTAATTGCTGTCACCACCCCAGCCTCACCAAAATCCCCCCACAGCCCAGAGGAGTTGAAAATGGAAGTGACCCCTGCTGTCCAGCCTCATGGCCCCCACCGACTTGTCCTTGGCCTCCAGCAGCCCATCCCCTTTCCACACTTTCTTGCACTTTCGTCCATCCCTGCAGCCCCCGCCATGATTTGGCCAAGCTTTGGAGCTTTTACAGTGAAAACGCTAGGGGCCTTGAGTGGGCCTTCCCCAGGCCTGGCTGGGGGGATTGCCACCCCCAGGGGCTGGTTGGCCCCTTCGACTCACAAGGCCTCCAAGACATTTGCTCGTTCTCCACCCCCTCAACCGCGGCCAGGTGTCCTGACACCTCCCACTCTCTGGCCTCAGATCCAGAACCTGGGCTTGTTCCCTGTCCATGGGGTGATGATGAAGATCACGGTTCCCATTGCCACCAGGGGTGGCAACTTCAAGACAGCAACACAAATAACTTTTCTTTCTTTTTTTTTGGTGGCTGACATGGGGATCTGAACCCTTGACCTTGGGTTTATAACACTGCGCTCTGACCAACTGAGTTAACCAGCCAGCCCCACAAATAACTTTAACCTAATAAATTCTAATTGTTTGAAGATTTGTTTGTGTTTTCTATCAACATTAGTTTTTCCATTCAAGCCTTATAAATTGTTTTCTTGTTGTATTGCTCTGGCTAGGACCTCCAGGGCAATGGTAAGTAGACAGGATCGTCAGGATTGTCTTGATCCTGATTTTAAAGAAATTTTTAAAAATTTTTCATTATTAAATAAAATACTTGCTGAGGACTTTTTAATTATATATAAATACCCTTTACTCAGATTCAGGAAGTTCCCTGGGAGGTGTTTTGTTGTTGGTGGTGGGGTTTTTTTGTGGTTTTTCGTGGGTTTTTTGGCGGCTGGCTGGTACAGGGATCAAACCTTGGACCTTGGTGTTATCAGCACCACACTCCAACCAACTGAGCTAACCGGCCAGCCCTCTGGGAGTTTTTATCATGAGCAGAAGTTGGATTTCCTAAAATATTTTTCCTGCATCTGTTGCAGTGATCATATCTTTTTCTCTTTAATCTGTTTATATGGTGATGACATTTATAGGTTCCCTAATGTTGAACCCAAGTTCTGTTCCTGGAGTATGCACAACTTCATTGGATCATTATGCACATCTTCAGATGGAGCATTGGATAGACCATCCTTAATCTGTATTCCAGTCATCCCCTGGTATCCCCAGCTCATGTGTCCCCACCCTGGGCCTCCCTCCTGTACCCTCTCCCCTGCCCCTCCTTCCACAGGAGCAAATCCCAGTTGGTCAAGCAGTGCAGCTGCACCATCGCTCTGGTGGTCCAAGCTCCTGCTCACATTCTCAGGTCACAGCCAGGCTGGCTGCCTTCCCCTGCTCCCCCATGGCCCAGCTGCTCACCCCTGGGACCCATCTCCTGTTTCAGAATCACAGCAACTCTGATGTAATCTCCATCAGCTGCAACGTGAGGCTGGCCCCCAATCAGGAAATCAGTTTCCGCCTGCTGGGGAACCTGTGGCTGAGGTCCCTAAAAGCAGTAAGTAGAGCCCCTCGCTTGGCTGGAAGGAAGAAAGGGAAGGGGGTAACTGTTGGGAAGTCTGCCACCTGGGGCTGCCTGGGGAGGGGCCCCCTTCTGATGAGGCCTCTGATCGTACAGCTCAAGTACAAGTCTATGAAAATCACGGTCAATGCCGCCTTGCAGAGACAGTTTCACAGTCCCTTCATCTTCCGCGAGGAGGATCCCAGCCGCCAGGTGAGCCCCTGGGACCTGCAGACCTGCTTGGGCCCAGCAGGCTTGGGAAAGGGTTGTCCCTCCTCTAGAGTTTTCCTGCAACCCCACTCATGTGTTCCAGCAAGAGAAAGACAGGAAGACCTGTCGGCAGTTAGTGCAGCATCTGAGAAGAGAAAAGCAAGACAAACAGGCTTGGGGGGCAAAACTGGGGAGGGGCCTCAGGGCACCAGGCTCTGGCTGTCTGCCCCACAACTGCACCACGGGGCAGGGGGAGGAAATTGAAACTGGAGCCCAGGTCCGGGGGTGCCTCGGGGATGGCTCTCTGGTTGCCCCACCCCCGCAGTGAGGCTGTGATTCGGGAGGCTGGCAGCATGAATGAGTGCTCCACCCCTCTACTCCCCAGCCATTCACACCTCAGAGCTAACGAGATGCAAGTGACGTGGGCGATGGCTCAGCACTGGGACAGACTGTTGTAGACCACACTGGCTTAAATCAGGGTCCAGGAAAGGGATGAGGCTCTGGGAGATGCTCTACTGTGACAATAAGTTGGGTCTTAAGGAAAAGCCCAGTCCCGCGGAAATAGCTGGGGCAGCGGGTGTGGGACACTGCTGCCCCCAACTGGCCACGTCCCAGAAACGCCAGCCTGGGTTCAGGGTGAGTGTTCCTGTTACAGATGCAGAGTAAACTCCCACCCCCACCCCAGGGAGATGCTAGAGAGCAAAGCAGGCCAGGTCGGGAAGCCAACCCTTAACAAAACAAACGAATATCAGTCACAGAGTGGGGTATGCCGGGCAGAGGGGCAGCAGGTGCAAGAGCCAAGAGGTAGCACCCGGGGGAGCCACTTAAGGAGTGTCTTTTGTGTGTTCATTCACTTGGCATCTGTGGGTGTCCCTCCTATGACTCAGACCCTGCAGGGCATACAGGAATGAATTAGGCAGAAAGGGGACAATGACAACAAAGTGTGAGTGCAATCTGGGGCTGAGCACAGGTACTGGGGAGGCAGGGGGACAGTGTCAGAGCAAGGGATGTCGAGGGAAGCTTTCTGGACTGGAAACAGACCATTTGAACTGAATCTCGAAAGATATGTTGGAATTTACAGAAAGCCAAGAGAGGGGAGGTGTGGTACCCCCACCCCCACTGCCACCCCCACCCCCTCACACACACAGACTACCCCTCCCCCCACACTGGTCTTTTAGGTGAGTTTACCTTCTCCTTCCACCCTCTTCCCACAATCCCTCCAATAGTCTCTGGATGTTTTACTTCTCTTTTAGAAATCCAGCAGCCCCCCAATTAAGCCCCTGTTGTGCTGGGCTCTGTGCTAGGTGACAGGGCTGGGGAGGCAAAGGGACAGAAAAGAGAACATATAAGGGACCTGTGCAGGGCACTGGAACAGACACTTCACATGTTATCTTGCTCACTCCTCACAGCACTGGGAGATACATCCCACCGTCCCCTTTTTTCAGATATGGAAACTGAGGCTATGTGAGATCAGGCAGAAGGGGGCAATGACTTGCCTCAAGTTGAGTTAGTGGTCAAGGCAGGGCTCTACCATGCTCTTGCAGGTGGTTCATTCATTCAGTCATTCAACATGTTTCCTGAGCTCCTACTGTGTTCCAGGTACTGAGGACAGAGCATGAACAAAACAGATGAAAACTCCTGCTCTCCTGAAGCTGACGTTCTAGCAGGGAGAAACACATAAACATAAACATACACAATGTGAAGCGGTGGTAAAGGCTACCCAGTAAAACTCATGCACCTAAGGGTGGAGAGTCAGGGGTTGTCATTTTATACAGGGAGGTTAGGAAAAGCCTCTCTAATAAAGTGACATCAGAGACCACGAGGAACACAGGAGCATCTTGAGGACATCTGGGGGAAAGGTTTGCAGACTGAGGGGAAAGCAATGCAAAGACTGCCAGCGGGCATGTGTGTGCCTGTGGGGGACCAGCTGTCTGGAGGGCTGGAGGAGAGTGAGGGGGGATAGGAGAGGAGGTCAGCGAGGGAGTGAGGCAGAGTGTAGGGCCTTGCGGGCCAGGCAAGGGCTCTCTTTTTTACTCTGAGGGAGGTGGGAAGACATGGGAGGCTCTGGGCAGAACAGAGAGAGTAGATCTGCCTTCCCATGCAGAAGCAGCCCTCTGGCTGCTGTGCTGAGAACAGACTGCAGGGGGCGAGATGGAGCAGGGAGGCAGTGAGGCTGCAATTGCATCTCCAAATGAGAGACCAGGGTGCTCAGAGGAGGAGGGAACCCAGGAGGTGGGGAGGAGGGGCCCAATTCTGGGTGTTTCAAAGGTAAAGTGAACAGACTTTGCTGATGGATTCCGTATGGGTGTGGAAGTAAGCATCAACAATGAATACAGTCAGCCTTTGGTGTCCGCAGGTTCCACATCCTTGGATTCAACCAACCAATGGAGGAGATTATTCAGGGGAAAAATAACTGCACCTGTACAGGCTTTTTTTCTTGTCACTGTTCCCTAAACAATATACTATAATGACTATTTACATAGCATTTACATTGTATTAGGTATTATGAGTAATCTAAAGATGATTTAAAATACATGGGAGATGATGTGCATAGGTTATATGCAAGTGCTATGTCATTTTATATAAGGGACTTGAGCATTCGCAGATTTTGGTATCCATGGGAGGTCCTAGAACCAATCCCCCACGGATACCGAGTGTCAACTGTTGAGTACGTGGTTTCCAGCCCAAACAACAGCGAGGAAGGATGACGCTGCCCTTTGCTTTGATGAGAAAGATTTGGGGATGAAGAGGGGGGTCAAGAGTTTGTCTGGGGTTCTGCTAAAGTCGCCAGGCAGGCCTTGTAGACAGTTGGTTCTGAGTCTGGGATTCAGCGGAGAATCCAAGCAGAAGATAGAACTGTGAGCACGGTCAGCATACAGATGGTTAAAGCCACAGCGCTGAGTGAATTTGCCCGGGTTGCTTTATGACTTTCATGGCCCTAGCCACTTTGCCTTTGGGACTCCTTTTTCCATAATAAAAAAATATTAAAAATTGTGTTTTACGGGCCAGCCCGGTGGCGCACTGGAGAGTGTGCCGCTTGGGAGTGCGGCAGCGTTCCCGCTGAGGGTTCGGATCCCATATGGAGACCGGTTCCCGCTCACTGGCTGAGCAAGGTGCGGGCGCAACACCGAGGGTTGCGATCCCGTTACCGGTCAGTAAAAAAGACAAAAAAAGGAAAAAAAAAATTGTGTTTTACAACCGTGCTGGGCTGAAGATGAATGAATGTAATTCAGGTTGGATTACATTCATTTTTTTCTTCCAATTTTAAAATAAAACATTTTCATGGGCCCTGAAAGTGTTACG